CCACAAATATTTTGAAAGAAGGAGGAAATAAAAGAGAAAATGAACCTTAAGGTTATGTCCAGACTTTTCTGGTACTGCATCTTAACTTGAAGAAATTGACAACTACATGGCTTGTCACCAATGCTTGAAATAACATAGCAGTGCAAGGGAAGTGAAACGGCACCTTGGAAAATCCAGAATATTCAACTGATCATTCCAAAACCTATCAGACAAAATGGACACATTATTCAAAACGAAGAATACTTTTTAGAGATAACTGAGTAACCAACTAGTACTGAAGAATGAACTCAGTACCTAGCACAAGCATCTTCCTAAGACAATTATTTACCACTACTGAACAAACATACTGCTCTTTCCTCCAAACCGTAGTATTGCGGTGCCAGAAGCTCTTGTGTTTGTGGGCTTCGCTATGGAAGCAATCAATCTCGGAATGTAAGGGCGTAATAATACAGAGGGTTTTTTTTAACTCTCATAACACAATCTGAGGAATAGCTGAAGTAGAAAGCTCTCCTTGGGGACCATGGCATTTTATGGAAATCACATTCTACCATCAGTGCAAGCAAACCGCTGAACTGTCAACTTGTAACAAACGGAAGTGCTTCCATAAACAGCATGTATACCAAATTCGGCTTACCTTGCTTTTAGTGCTGATTTCGCTGCTTTGTGAGCTGCTGCTGCTGTGTCGCTTTTTTCCTTTTCTAAACATTTTTTCATAATTGAGTCAAGGAAGATCTTCTAGGAAAAATAAAAATTAAAGCTGTCATATCATCAAGAGAAGGAGTTCCTGGCAAACACCAGAGTGGCTGTGTCCGAAGTGGACAAAAACTGGAAACTAGTAAGCTAATGAATCTCAGAATGGAAGTAGGAATGTTCCTCTGGTGGTCTTCATGTGTGACTGGGGAAAGTCCCTCAAGCTCTCTGCTAAAACGTCACTATCCTTCTGATTCATCAAAAAAATGCTGCTACCTAGTTTACAGACTGTTGCAAAGGTCAGTTTCTAATGCATATATATGATAGAGATTTAGAAACAAGACAAAATTTTAAATTTATTCTCACTTAAAAGCATTAGATGATTTTTATTTGTAACTACAATGTAAGTGCCCTACAAAGTGCACCCAGTGCAATCTCTGCTCCAAAGATTATGCTCCCATGAAAAATAAAAAAAACCCTACTTCTGAAGAACTACTGATTGGAATACTTTAGGAGAAGCTATTACTACTTCACATGTTGCTGAAAATTAAAGCAAGAATCTTACATTTACTGTCTTAGAACTGAGTTACTGGGAGTTCTGAGAGTATTCCAGAAGCATTTTTCCTGTATCTGCCCTACTACTTAAGTTGCTTCACTTAATACTTGGCTGGCCAGCGTCAAGAAGCAGGATGCTGGCTCCCAGTCAGGGGGTGCTGAAACCCTATTTCCCAGCTTCAGAGAAGAATATTTTCATTGCAAAGCTTCAGAAATTTTCAGCAGGTGGAAAAAAGAGGACAAAGGAGGAAAGCAGCATACGGAAGACAGCTCACACTGCAGAAAATAATGTAAGATGCACAAGGAGGAGCTTAGATCCGTGATGCAGTGCTGGATTACAGTTCCCAGACTGCGGCTGTGTTTGTCATTAAGCAAACACTTGG